GGTCGTCATTTGCTAACTATGCTGTAAGTTTCCGCCCTATAAATCTTTTTTCCCATTCTTTTCACTCGACGTTTCTCCTAGCATGGTTGGGCAGCTTAAAAAAGTAATATGTATTTTACATATAGAATCTTACAAGGGACTTGTATACGTTCCTTAAGATTTAATAACATTCTAGTTTTTAATTCCTGACGGTGCCCGTTACAGTTTCTGGTCACCGTCACTACTTCCACTTATCACATTATAAGCGAACAAAAGTAAATTTATTCACCTAAACAGTCCGATTTTTTTTTAAAAACGTTGCCCTTACTTTAGGATACAAGGGCCATGATAGCTCAGTGTCGGGGCGCTCGCCTTTAATTCAATATACTCGAGCAACCTGAGTTCGATCCCCGGTGCCGGCCACCAATGAAGTTTTTAACTTTAAGTGCTGACTTATCACGTGCTCTGCGGTGAAGGAAAACATCGTGAGGAAACCTGCATATTTTCGAAATAATAACAAAAAAATATATATTTCGAAGATATGTGAAGTCCGCCAATCCGCAGTGGGGCCGCGTGGTGGACTATGCCCTGATACCCTCTGTATAGAGGAGGCCTTTGCCCAGCAGTGGGACATGTATAGGCTGTTACTTTACTTTTTTTTTTACTTTAGGATAACATTATCCTGTTTTGTAAGGACGTTTTACAAACATAAATTTCACGCGGACGAACACCCAGATGCGAAACAACTATCTGTGGTTCACACAAATAGTTGTCCCGTGTGGGAATCGAACCAACGACCGTCGACGCCGAAGCCAATACCTTGGCATCTGCGCCACGGAGTCATCAAATACAAGGTACCTAACGATGTGCACCACTGGGATAAGTATCCAAGACCTGTGATTGTCCACTCCACCACCACCACCACCATCATCATCATCCGCCGCAAGACATCCACTGTTCAACAAAGACCTCACCTTTAGAACACAAAAACGAACGCACTGCCATTTGCATCCAACGGTTGCCCGCGACTCTTTATGTTATCGTCCGTCCACTCTACCCATCACTGTGTAACACTGCAGTCATGGTAGCACTCATATATAATAATAATAATATAATATATCCTATACAGGGAGGCTTTTCTAAGTGGATCCATTTTTTTAATGAAATTCTAGACATAAATAATGTCATATAAAAATTATAAATATTTAAAATCACTCGTAATTAATAAATTAAATTCATTTTAACTTATCTCAAAAAATGCGTGATTTATGGGCAACTCATTTATTTTACGCGCGATCATTCATAACCAACACGCACACAAGTTTGTTTCAAAAGTATATGACGCATTTATGAATGACTACCGCATTGACAACATGTTCTGTTTTTTAGGGAATAGAATGGCAATTTTTTTAAAAAAAAAGTTTGTTTTTATTTCAATAAACGTTTATACTACCCAGTCTGGACCTCCTGTGTGTATTTGGGCACCTTTGTATATACATTGTGATTATTGTATGTGATATTGTATTATCCATACTATAATATTATAAATGCGAAAGTAACTCTGTCTGTCTGTCTTTCTTTTACTCCCTACAAACTACTGAACCGATTTAAATGAAATTTAAATCGGTTCAGTAGTACAGGTACACAGATAGTCTAGAGCCTGAGAAAGGACATAGGCTATTTTTTAATTGAAAAAAAGTGATTGAAAGAGATTTATTGAAGGGCTTTGACGCGAGTGAAGCCGCGGGCGAAAAGCTAGTACACAATATTTATATCTATATGTTTATATTTATTTATATCTAATATTTATTTTATATATGCAATATATTTCTATGTTTATTTTTATTTATAAACCCAACTAGAAGAGAAAACAAATAAATATCCCCACCATAATAATAATAAAGCCCTTTATTCCAAGCGTTAAAACACTACTTATTTAAGAAATAAAATAAACTACAAAAAGTCCCGTAGCTCGGTGTGCCTATTGGCAAAGGCCTCGTCCAACGTAATACCTATACATTTACATATATAAGTATCGTCTAATATACGTCAGAAAATGAGCGCATTAATTAAGAAAGAATTTACGTCGTATACGTCGTAGTCATCGAAATTTATTCAATGTATCATTATAAAGACGAATAAAGATTGACAGATTAAATAAGTCTTTATTTCTCGTCTTCAAAGACCCCCACTTGACAAAGGTCCACTTGACGTTGCGGCTAAGCGATGCGCGATGCGCTTCCCACTCGTGACGTCAAAGCTCAAAGCATGAGCACATTTCGGGTAAATCTGTCCTAAAAATGCAATATGAACATCATATTATCCGACCATAAAAATACTCACTGTTATTTGCTCACTATAGATGATTAATGCAGCTGCATCGAATACGTTTATTATTAAGTCTGTAAAAATTGAAAGGCTGCAAAAATAGATGAATCACACAGAATCAAATCACAATGAACTACTACAGGAAACAATCACCATCACCTTAGTTGGTATAAAATGTGGACCACTAGTAGTAGGAACATGGCTAGGAGCAAAAATAGGTTGAGTATTTAGACTTGTCGGATATTGGGTTCGCTGGCACTTTGCCAAGAAACCGCAGACCGTAAATATTGGATACGCCTTTATTGACATTCTTGTCAAAATTTTTAAAATTGTTCCTTTTGAGTTATTTGTAAAGCATGCTATGTCAACGTACGTATGTTTTTATAACGAAAATTCGTCCAAGGAGCATGCGGTTCACCTGATGGTAAGCGATCACCCACTTCTAAGGGGAATCCACAGCACTGCAGTTATTTATTTAGATATTTTACCGTGCGAAGATATCAAGCAAGCGTTTAAGCGATTCACCTGATGTTATGCGATATGCGTCTCCCATGGTCATTGCGACACCCGTAGATTTGCAGATGCGTTGCCACCTTTTGTTTAAGTAGCCTCCTGTTATCTAATATATAGACTAGGACGAAACAGAAATAAGACTGCCACTTCACGCCTGTCTACAAGCTTGCCCATTCGTGCAACAGCAAAGACTGCTGCAACAACGCGCTAAGAAAATGATAAGGAGAGAGTTTTGAATCAGTAGTATGCATTTGTCTAGGATATGAATGTCGCAAACAGCCACCAGATGGTAAGTTCAATCTCCAAGCATTGTCCTGACTGCGTACATTTTACAATGCAGTGTTCTCCTTACTATTGATTATTCAGTTCTCTCGAACGTTGCACAATCCAGCTGAGGGAAGGTGCATCCAAATGAATTCCGCGCCCTCATTAATGCAGATTCCGATGTATTTCCAACGATCCGAGTTAACGAATGGATACCGCCACCTAGGAGTGTTTGAGAAAGTTTTAAATTGTTGAAAAAACAGTGATAATTAGGAAACTGAACTCGGTATTCTTTTAGAATGTTATTTATGTAAAGATTTAATTGTTAAATTATTTAATGGTCTTAAATAATTTTTGATCATTGTTCTGGTAACAATAGACAATTAGATTTTGAATTATTTTAACATGATCCATTAAAAAAATAAGCTTGAAAGGCCAGTAAACAACACATTGCTTTTGTCACTATCTATTGCCTATTGACTTTTATCTTATTTTATTTATATTAATAATTGAGATTAATATATATTAAATATACAAACTATTATTAACAATTTAGGATCAAAATTAGATAATCTCCAAAATCAAGTTCCACTTCATCTATTCGTAATACATCTACAGAATCTAGTATGGGGGTTTTTATTATATTGTTTTTGTTATTTAGTTATATTGAATATCTACCCTTTGATGCAATTCCAAAAGCGATTCAACTCTGCCGCGACAATCGAGTCCCGGTGCACAGAAATACCACCGTATCGATGAATACGGAAATACCGCGGCGTTGCTCTTTCGGCCCACGGAAATATTTTTAAAGGCGTCAAGTAGCTAATAGGACGAAAATAGCGCTTCCTTCAGGATTCTCCGCGGTCCGCTGCACTCGCATCGATGACGTTCGGACATGTTGACGGCGCTGGACTGCTGTACCGTTCTTAACGTGAAGTATCCTCTTATTCGGTTGATTGTTGGCCTTTGGAGTGTACATTGTTTGCAGATTTTAACATTAGTGAAATGTGAAAGCATAAAAACTTTAAAACAGATGTGTGTCTTATCCATGAAAGTGGAATGGAGAGGAGGCCATAATTTGGACTGACTGTGTGAAAGAAGATATGGTAAGAAAGGAAGTGTTCTGCTTTAGACGAGACGAATGGAACCACACGTTGCAAAATGCTTCAATTTATCAAATGAACTGAAGATATTTTAGTAAGGAAAGTGAAGATAATGAGGATTGTGGTTTATTGTAATCTGTGTTGATTTGGTTTCACATAGGCTTATAACATTTTGTAGGCGAGTCCAAAAGCTTTTTATTTGTCTAGAAAATATATTAACCGAATGAAGGCGGTGTTGTTACTGAAATTAATTATTATTTGTACAGCGTGCTGTTTGCCCATTCTCTTGACATTCATTAGCATAGCTTCGTGTATTTGCTCTCGGCATGTTAATGAACTACTAATTCAGACACCACATCTACAACCGCGAAACCATTGGACTATCGTTGAGTATAGTGTACCGTTTGGCTGATACTAACTTTCTAGCTGTTCCAAGGGTCATTTTCGTTCTTTTTTATGTGGGAAGGTCGCAAATGATCTGGCGGTTCAACTGATACTAAGTTATAACCGCCGCCCATGGATATTTGCAACGCCCGTAGCTACCTCACTCGCCAGACTTTCCCACCACTTCGCGCCGGTCTTCTGCGAGGTCGTGGTACTCCCTCGGACGGACCTACCCCTTTGTGCAACATCGAACTGTTGCGTGGTCCTACCACAGTATCGCACAGTCAGGTATCGATCAGGAATGTTCGTTGCTGTACCACTTAACGATTGACTTGATTCGTTCTTGCATCGGTTCATTGGAATGTGAGTAACTGCACTGCAACATCGGTGACATTAGTGGTCGGCTCATTGAGTGAAATTCGTACGCAGGTCGAGGAGCGGAAGCGGGCGATATGGGAGGCTTCGGTGTCGCGGCGGGAGGCGTTGCTTCAGAGGGAGAGGGAGCGAACGGAGCGCCTGGAGAGGGCCAGGGCTGCCCGTTCGACTCCTAGGCCGGCCTTCGCCTTCGGCTCGTCGACTCCAAGGCTACTGGAGCCAGTCGACTCGGCAGGTTTCTTCTGGGCCGCGCGCAGGTATGTATCCCCTCCCCCCTCTCACTTGGCTACGAGCGATCTTTACGCAGTGGCCCTGATGTTTTATGACTCTCTTAATGTGGGTCGGTTTAGTCCATTTATTGTTTCATATTCAAACGAAAATATCGGTTAAATATGTTTCGTAGTTATTAACGGCCGGTTTCAATATTCTGTCTAACTGTAGTTTTGTTCACTGGAAATGGAATTTTGACGTAAGTATTGTGGAGCCAATGTCAAATACCTATCGCTAGTGATCAAATCTACAGACAGACAGATGGAATATTGAAAACGGCCGTAATATATTAACTCGGTCCCCTAGTTTGAGTTAAGGTTAACTGAGACTATGAATATGATTGAGTGTACTTGTAATAGTGTCAGTTAATAATTATACTTTATCTTTTTGGACATAACCGCTTTGATTTTTAAGCGACTAAAAAAAATGGTAGAATCCCGACATCGGTCATAGCTTTCAAAGGCGCTAGTCGGTTTAAAAGACTACACTGTGAGAGTATTTTCTATTATAGCTATAGTTTAGATTTTTCCAATGTTGTTTTCCGTACTGCCACAGCACCACCCGAAATGCACCAAACTGCGTGTAACGTGATGCGGAATAATGCAATCTTGCATTATCGTCGTTGTTTGTTTTTTTTTCTTAGAACTATTTCGCTTCGCTTTTAGTTTGGGGCTCGACACGCTGCGGGTGGTGGTTTCAAGTTTCTGAAGCGGCGGGGACGGTCGTAAATAATGCAAATACGTTTTACGCTCTCTTAATATGTCATGAATTTAGTGAGACCTTTAGGTCAGAACTTTACCGAATTCAATAAAACGTTATTAATCTAAGGCCAAGTACCGTGCGTGGCCCTAGATTAATCCACCACGTATGCGCTGTTGAACAATCACAGGTCCGTCTGGGGAAGTACCACGACCTCACAGAAGGCAGTGATAGACTTCTGCGTTTTGTAACACATATCCTTGTAACTTGAAAGGAATTAGATATAGTGTTGCGTATTCACGAATATGATACATTTCGGTATCGGGTTATGACTTAATAATTGACGCTGACCCGAAATTCATTTACGAATCGGATCATTATCAAATTCGTAATTCTTACGCCCGGTTTCTGAAACACTGATCATCGTAGATGTCGACTAATCAGCTGTCAAATGGCTTTTCAATTGTCATTTGAGTGGTCAAAAGGATGGTTCAACTCTTTGAATTGATCATTCTGATCATTAAGAAGATACTTCTGGTCAATTCAGAGATATTAACCATAGTCAACATCTACGATGATCATTGTTTCAGAAACCGGGCGTTAGTCTAACATTTTTATTGTAAACAACAAAACGACGTATTTTGTCTACCATAACTCCAGTCTGCTCAAAATTTTATATACACTGAATAACATAAATTAATCTTTTTCGTGTAAATTTACAATTGTCATTAGAATTTTACTGTAAATGACACTGTTAAATTTTAATATTTCTGATTGGAAAAATCCATTACAGAGTTGTTTGGTCGTTATTTCCTGATGTAAACATACATTTTTAATTTAACTCTAATCCAATCAACATCAAAAGGCTACATCGGTTCCTATGAAGTATACTGTAAGTTCATTGCGCGTATAGGGTCTAAACTAATGATCAAAAAGTTGAGCATAATGTAAAATAGCTATGGCTCTAGGAAGGAAAACACCCCCATTGTCTCGTGACTTTTGTTATGAGGTAACGCGTTTGAAATGTCACGAGTTGTTATCATAATTTAACGCAAATTATTTCTCTTTTGATCCAAGGCGTCAAAACGAAAATTTTTGTACAAAATGTATTATTTGTTAATTGTAAGAGTACAATACTCATAATAATAATTATTCACCTTTATGTACGACCGTCCTCCTAACTTCGCATAAACGAACCGTATTCCTCTACAATAATGGGTGGGGTGTCGAACTTTGGTCCTAATAGACCGCAGTGAATAACGCAACCCCAAGCTGCCTTATTTGAGTACCGAGCACTAATTTATTTTTTGTTTCCTCCATCACCAGTACCAACCCCCTCGATCAGATGAACTTTTTTGAGTCACTGTAAGCAATTTTTTTTTCTTTTCTTTTAGTTTTCCTTTTTTTTCTGTACTGTTTCGTTGTTAATCTATTATCTGTTTCATAACATAATAATTATTTAGTCTAACTTTAGTGCAGCATGTATGTTATGTAGGTTGAAATATTTATATTTTTTTTTATATCTGTTAATTCGTTACGCTTATTTTATTAGATTCCTTGCGCACGTAATGGAATGTCTGAGTTGTGTAGTATTTATATACGTATTAAGATAAATGCATGTTGTTATATATACAGTATTGTTACTGGTTAAGTTCTACATTTAATAATTATTAATAAGTTATGAAAGCAAAGCGAAAATCTTCTGTGTTTAATTCTTGAATAGTAGTTACGGTAATGATTCTATCTAAAGGGTCAGGTAAGTTTCAAAAATCCCCTATTTGTATTGTATCTACTGTTCGGTTTTTATCGAATTGTCAAACGACTTAGTTTTAATAACTATACAAATCAAATCAAATCAAATCAAAAATATATTTATTCAAATAGACGCTTGCGCGCTCTTATGAATCGTCAAATTTTACATCAAAGAGTATGTGTATAGGTGGGTTATATTAGGTGTATATTATGATTATGTTACATCAAAGAATGAATGTATAGCATGAACAGTTCTAAATATCTTTTATATTTCCCTAATGTTAATTACTCTACTGGCTTTTACTCCTAAAATACGTACTGTGCCACAATATAGCAGCAATATGCAACGTGTTTTGTTTATTAACGGATTTTTACTACGTTGATGAGGACTCGCTTATCGTGTCCATGTTTGCCTCATTTCCGCTATGCCACGAAGAAGTCGCTCTTAGTCACCGTCGCAGATTAACTAATCCACAGAAACACAATATAAACGTAAATTGGTGATAAGACCTTCGTTTTTTATAATGTTCATTTCTCTTAAGTTACTAAAAGGAAGTATTTCCAGTTTATCGATTCTTGTGGTTCACTCTACTTTTCCTTCTAATGCACTACCTTGACGTAAAACTGTTCTAGCTCGCTATTTGTACATTATAATGGTTCTAAAAATGATAACTCATATTGCCATTATGTTACCAGTCCAAAAAAATTATTTTCGACATTTCTTGCCTAAAATAAAAAGCAAAGAATAATAGTGTACATGTTCCAAATATTTCGTTTGTAGTTAATAGGTATGTGATGTGAAATAAAAGAAGATATCAGACGAATTGTCCGTGGTCAGTCTGCAGATTTGTAATCTATGCCGGCTCGCAGGACATCGCAAACTATCGCCCATGAATACTCAAACGATTGCGGTCTGCCAATGCACGACCCAAATAGCTCGCTCGCCAGTCTAGAAACGCAAACTCGCCCGACTTGCGTACACGTAAATAGAACGGAAAGTGTCCCTAGGAATTTTCGAGCACGTAGTGCCCAAGAATCACCAAAACCCACGCTTTATGTTAGTCCCTAGGAGATTCCACGCTTTTAGTGTCCTAGAATCGGACGCGTATGCTTATTCAGTTTATTTTATGCTTTTATTGGTAGTAGATTTACCTTGGTGGAGCCACGTGCCGGCCCGATCGGAAGTGACTACAGTGTAGAGAAAGTATTTCTATCTTTGTTTGCCTTTCGTCTCGTGAGCTAGACAACGAGATATTCTTGACGGTTGGAACATATTTTCAGCACGTGTCTTGTAGATCGGCGGTGGTTATGTGCCCTATGCTCTTTCGCCCACTACCACGGGGTCACCTTCCTATCTCTCTCAAGCAAAAGATCTGTTCGAAAATAATGATATAACTCCCACTTTAGGGTAGATTATTTTCTTGATCGTAGAGTCAGAATTTCATCTCAAAGCTGGTTAACTTGTTATTATAGTAACACTCGTTGATCGGAATCAATTGGCTGTAGGACATACTAATGCATGTGCCATGCGGGAACCGAACGACTCTCTGTGTCGTCTGTTCAATTGCTTTATTTGACTCCTTCAACGTGATTAGTCTGTGATGTCTTGTATTCTGTTCACCTACTTTACTAGCTGTTCTCTGATAGACAGGACGGGGCAGGTTATCTCTGATTGACACCTGACATTATCTATGTCTTTGCCGGATAATGTAGTAATTGGTTATGTAAGCACGGGTTTGATTGGTAATGATGAGCAAATGAGCTGGTTATTTAGAGTTCTCATGGTGACCCTATGATATCTCTCCCATTGCGATCAGTTTGGTCAAGTGCTGAAATATATCCCTTGAAGGGGTCTATGTTTTTATAAACATAGTTGGAAAACAGGAATGTGATGTCTCTGAAAAAGTAGACGAGGTAATAAAGTGATACTTTTAAGTTAATTAACATACTGTATATTTTTCACTCTTGCGGCAAGGGCTCCTCTGTACTGAGGGCATTAGGGCAGTGTCGGTGGACTCGATCGCATTGCGGATTGGTGGACTTCACATGTCGTTTGATATATTTTTGTTATAGTTTAGTACGCGTTTACTAGATTAGAACATAAAATTGCAATCAACAATGCAAACTCAGGTTGCTCGAGTGTGCTAAATTGAAAGCGAGCGCCTGGACACAGAGTTATCACGGTAAGACATGCTATGGTCTTCCTTGATGCTCAGATAAGAGGTTCAAAGTACATCTACACCCATTTAAAGGCGAGATGTTCTTTTCGAAAGAAACAAGGTAATCTTGACGTTCTAATCGATACGGAGCATAATTTTATTGTTCGACCGATAACACAGATACTGGCTGTTATTACGCGATAGGTACTTTTGTATTGCTCTCTATCTTAACATTCTGGATATCGATTAGATATCGATGTTTGTGTATCGTACGCGGAAAATTTTGACACGGAAGCCAAAGTCTCAAATAATGAGGCTAATTTTGGAATTGTCGCAATCGTTTTGTTCTATGACAGCCGTAAGTGCTACTGAATTTGGCTGTTACTTTACTTTTGACAGAGATTTGTCAACACGCTCTTCGAAATAACTATCTTTTGCTGTGGTTATTTTACATATTTTCCACTGCTGTTAGTGCATTTTACGTAAATATTCAAGCGTCTTATAAATTTGAAAAGTGGGCCAACATGACGATGCCTAATGAAATTTTTGTCAATCGCGCGCGGTGTTTCAACTTAGAAACCGATTAGACTACATGATAGCATACTAATTCTGGACCATGTAATAGCCAGCTATAGATAGATAATTTTGCTTATCTATGTATAGTTGGCTGTTGTTTATCATGATAGACTATCTATAAACCAAAAAGGTAGGGCCAGGCAGCAATTTCTGCCGTATTATGAGAAGGGCAGCTACCTACTTTCAAGACTAGCGTGAAGTAGTAGTATCATACTTTCGCGTTTCGCCTGGTGATTGAGGTAACCGGGGACTATTTTTTATGTGATGACCATGTGCGGCGGTAATCACTTAACATCAGGCGAACCACCTGCTCGCTCGAAAATATTTCGCAGTAAAAAATGTTTTACCTATTTCACAACACTATGTTCCATTTGGGCTAAGATAAAACAATTCAATCCCAACATCTGGCGGGTGCAAATACTCAAATGCGGATGCCGCATTGCAGTGTAAGAGATTTAATAACTTCATCAGCGCTAATTTCTTTGAAGCTGCTAATATTTGCGTACGAAATATTACTGTGTTGGTTTATTAAAACGACGTTCTGTTTATTTATCATGGAACATGAAAATGCGGTAAAAGCGTCTGGGTGCGAACACGGAAGACGTGGCTTCGATTCCCACAGCGGCGAGAGTGTTTTCGTTCCTTTTTTATACAAATTTTAGTATTGAATGCATTCATATTATACGTAATAATTTAACTGACATTCGGGTATCACGAGATGTTTTATTTCGCGTCCGATATTTATCGGTCATCACTTAAATTGCAATCGACGATGTGACTTGACAGGAACTTTCACAACTCGATTGTTTTGAGCCAGCGCCACGCTTGAAGGACCCCGTGACGTCATCGTCAGCGCGCATTGTCACAGCGACACAATGGTCGAATTTGGCGGAGTATGTCATTTGTACTCTGTCTTTTGCTTACCTTTTTTGAAATTATACCTATTTTGGCGCGGTTGGGAAAAATATCAGAGTGAATTGTTACGATGCGTGACACTTAAGAGCGACACCAACTTGGTCACCATGGCAAGCAGTAACAACTTTTTGACATTTGTAAACCGTTATCAACTGCATTTAATGTCTATTTGTATGCGGATCGAATTTTTGTTATTTTTTTTATTACATTACTACACACACCCGCGAGCGTTTTTTTACTAATAACACGTGTGGTACACTGTCTTTTCAACCGACTTCAAAAAAGGAGGAGGTTCTCAATTCGACTGTATTTTTTTTAATGTTTTTGCTTGCGTGGCTTTTGAGCATATCATAGGGGCCACTGTTGACACTCCGTAGAATATTGATATCGATGGCAATATAAATGGTCATTTTTTGGACGAAGTACATACACATACAATGTTAATTGAGCATTCCATAATTCAAAAAAAACATATTAATATTTTATTTTAACAAGAAATAACCAGAAAAATATAAATTCAAACATTTTTTGTTTATCCCGTTAAGAGTGGTCACCCTATTGATAAGCGGTTTAGTAATTATTCGTTCAGCGGACAGTTTGAGTGCTCGTGAATAGGTTATTGTACTGAGACGATAAGGCAGGGATTTCTAATAGGGTGTCCATAATGTTTGAAAGAATTAAAAATAATCTTTGAAAAAAAAAATAGGTCGCAAGTACGTACCAGGTTCAGATTTAGAATAAAATTCTGCATGTGCTCTGTTAATATGTCCGTCGTCTATAAAATCACCCTGTAGACTACCAAAGCAGTATCGGATGTCGCCAATATTAAGCTTTTGCGCCAGACACTTTTTGCCCATAACATTATACCACCCGGAAGTCCGTTTTCACCATCACCACTTAACTTTTAGGGACACCTAAAAAAATATTTTAGCTAGTTTCATTCTCACCGCCGCTTAGTAAAAGCGGCGGTGAGAAGAAGCGGCCTAAAGTCTTAAACGTGAAAGTTAGGGATCGATATTGAAAATGGGCATAAGTTTATAAAAAATATGCACACATTATCCAATAACTTTAACTAAACTTTGAGTACTGACTAACTGCATAATATTAAAAGAAATCTGCATGACTGTTTTGTTCCAAGTTTGGTTGTATCTGTTGTTTAAGCGACGATTGCGTTTCGTGCATGACCTGTGTGTTTGAAATTGTTGCTTTGCGAATAAATGTAGTAGTAGTATTTTCTTTATATTTACTTTACTAACATGTATAATATAGTTTTGCAATTAATTTAAAAGTTTTCACGTCGCATCAACAGATTAAGAGTTCCTCAAATGAACGATTATACTATTAGGAAAAATGTTAGCTTCATCATCATCATTTCGGCCTGTTCGAGTCGAATGCTGAACATAGGCCTCCCCCATAGACTGCCACCAAATACGATCCTGAGCCACCTGCGTCAATCGACTACCCGCACATTTGCACAGGTCGTCACTCCATCTAGCGGGGGGGGGGGGGGGGGGGGGGGGTCGTTCTATACGTCGAATTTTAGCTTAAAACGCAATAATTAAACTGATTTGATAATTATATGTGACATAATATATTTAAAGATTTATCTTCCGTATGCTTTTGTCCACAAAATTCACAAACTAGCCGATGGATTGACTCGATATTTGTTCACAACATAGCTATTGGACAGGGAGTTGTTTTTTTATACTTTCTATTTCGATGTTGCAATGGAAACAACAAAAAAGCCACAGCTAAGCGTGGCCGGGTTCAGCTAGTATTAAGAGCATGTGTAAATAAAAGTCAAATGACTAGAAAGTAATCTATTTGAATAGATCAATATAGTTGGTTTATATTAAATTCAATATATATTCAATATATTCTATTATATTATAGTTAATAATATTGGTTGTAATTTGCACGCATCTTATATGCTTAGGGTATAATCACAGAGTATTACAATAACGACATTCTGAACTGTCAGAAACATTATGGTTGCATTACCACGTTATGCATGATTCACACTTGGAGGAATTCGCTGTGTAAATGTAGATTGACACTAAGAACATTCCACCATAGTTTAGTATATTTTTATCACTTGTTGTATAAACATATTCTCTAATTTTTTAAATTGCACTGTTCGATTATGATATCGCGTACCTCCGTCCTCCAAAGTGCATCCGCCATGACACAGCATCCCTGTCTGCGCTCGTGAACGTTACTAACACACGCACAGTGCCCCCAATATTGGGATATTCACGGTGGCACGTTGCTGTTCCAGGGCGGCATCAACAACGAACGTGATGTTCGCGTCTGCGCCGCTCACTAGGAGGGCCTCTGCGCTTCAGCTCGACATGTCCGACAGCGATAACAAAGGTAAATTGACAAATGAACAGTTGCTCAAGCTACGACATCGCGGGAAAACCTGCATATTTTCGAAAGAATAATATAAAAAGTCTTACCAAAATATGTTCGACAATCCGCAGTGGGTTCGCGTGGTGGACTATGCCCTGATAACACCCCCCCCCCCCCCCCCCCCGTACAGAGGAAGAAACATATTTTCGAAATGATAACATAAAAAAGTCATTCGAAAATATTTGAGGTCCGCCAATCCGCAGTGGTTCCGCTTGGACTATGCACCAATATCCTCTGCAAGGAGGCCTTTGCCCGGCAGCGAGACACGTATAGGTTGTTTACTTTACTTAACCTCTGGTGGACAAATCTGGTAATCTTTTATGTGAAGCAAATTTAATGAGTAACACCTTGTATACCCCGCTGATGGCCATGAACAGACAATACGAAAGACAAAGTAAGAAGTGACGAATGTACGCTCGTGGGCAAAAGGTGTTATACCCCATTGCCAATTAATAGTGTAATGTCTCTTGTGCTAATGTGTTTGGCTACGGTCCACACTTCTGGAATAAGATTGTGTGGTGAACATTGTTTTTCTAGTTTGGGTGTTTATTTATCTGTATAATGTGTCTATATATCAAGTATGTATTACCTGATACCGAGTACCCATATTACATGCCATGCCTAGTTTAGGACTGATAGTGCTGTGTAAAAATGTCATTGAAAATATTTAATATATTTTTGGGTAATAAAAGCAAAAGAAAAAAGGTTAGACGAAGGAGAAATTAGCGAGCACCAATAATGTTACACTGCTAGGTGTACAGACTGTAGCGAAGACAGAATATAAATACAACAGTCTGTATGTGTTACTGCTTACAGTGCTTATAGTATTACATGAACACACTTCGAAGTAAATCTTTGACGTGCAATTTTTCCCTTACCGCCGGACAAGTTTCAATCGGCTCTTACTATCACATATTACAGTTAAGTCAATGGGACTTTATAATTCGTTATGAATCGTTAAAATTCGTGCCATGTATGGAAATTAAGAAATAACTTAGTTTTTTTTTCAAAAGACGTCATTCGGTGTTAATAATATATGTAAATGGCCGGTCTTGTTATTCTATAACATTCCTTTTGATAACAGAATAAACAAATGTATTGCTTTCATATATTGTTCAGTATTATGCCAAGTGCTGAAGATTCATTTTTGTACATTCTTTTGATTCCAATCTGTTAATGTATTGTTAAATAAATAACAAATGGGGAGGTCATATTATTTAATGGAACACGTGCAGAGCTATTCATAATAAAATTACGATTACGGGAAATTACAAAAGTAGTTTTAGAACGTTTGTTTAAGAATGTTTATTAAAGATTTAAATTTATGTCTCATAAATCAGCTAGTGATAAATAATATTTGTTCTTTTTTTGCAAATTATAGAAATCTATATGATAAAGTAATATTTATTTGCATAAAATTGCTTCATCATCGTAATGAAATTAAAAGATTTATATACAATCGACGCATTATCGCTGTATTGTTGTTATCACTTTTTTTTTGTTTCATTTGATTAAATATGAATTAAATTTTCTCATGCTGCCAAGGACTCATGTTTACAAGTTACTGTAAGTATATAACACTAATGTTAATTTGAGAGTGAACAGTGATCGAGATAATCAACGTTTCCACCTCATAGAAAAGCGGATACATGAAAACGGGGCCTAAATTTTATTTATGATTCCACTTATCACAGCTTTAGTTCTGTACATAAATGATACATAATATTTATTTATGTAACAAAGTCAAAGTCAAAATTTCTTAGGCTTATTTTATATCCTTACTAGCGACCCGTCAAGGTGGTGTGTATTATACATATAAACCTTCCTCTTGAATCACTCGTACTACGCAACATCCGTTGCGCAGTTTTAAAGATCTTACTAAACATACATAGGGACAGACAGCGCGACGACTTTGTTTTATATTATGTAGTGATTGAACGTCCAAAAAATACCACTGTTTCACTAGACTAGACCTGTCCAGAGAAGAAGCAGCAAGAAACTTTGCGGTCTTGTTTATTTAAAGATATGATTGTCGTCTCCGGATGCGTACGCGCGGGGCACCAATAGGTGGAGGGTAGTAGTACCCTAGTGGTCACCAGTTCAGCTCCGACCACAGTGGTGTGAAGACGTGTGCGCAAGCCAGCGAGCCGATATTTATTGTGACAAATTATTCGAAGTATTGATCGGTTATTAGTTCCCAGCACAAATAGATACACAACAATTTTTTTTTTTTTTTTTAAGTTTACAAAATTGTTTGAGTATCAAATCAGCAGCAGTTGGGGATCTTGCAAGTGCAGAGCAAGCGTCATTTCCACACATCCTTGTCCTCGATGTATTCTTCGACATTATAATAGGCCCTTTCCATTAATGTGATTTTTAAAAAATGTTTAAAATAGTTTACATATAGTTGTTTGTGTATGTCACCTATTTAATTTTATAAATTATTACCTCTGCCGAGAAACGATTTTCATTGCTCGACTATGAAGCAACCAGAGTTCGAAATTTAGTCCCTAACGCACCAATGAGAGTCTAAATTACCTTTAAAACAAATATGTACTTACTTAAAAGCAAGGTCTCCTACCCAAACGTATTCTAAGCCGTTAACTAATACAGTCTGTTCAAATACGTCCTCTACGTATTTGAACAGACTGTATTAGTTAACGTTTAAGATGCTAATAATGATCTCTTAAACGGGCCATTTATCGTCTTTAGAATAAGGAACAAAACGTTGGCTCCGTGAGAATATGACGTGGCCCGGTGACCTTGCATACAATGTCTGTCATGCGTGTATGTAGAACAATTAACTGGGTAGTCTTTTAAGAAAAATATATGATGTAACGATATAAGTATTCAGAATAATAATGGTAGTCTTAAAAAGCGAGATTATTAATTAACGAGAGTGGGATCCAAAATGACAATGGTTTTAATCATTGTCTACTACACAGAGACAGGCTATGATGATATTTTGCTTTTAACTGGATGAAACAATAAAAATAAAATACAACATTTCGATGGGGAAATGGAAAAGAAAGCTATTTGTAAAACGGTTTCATATTTAGCAGCGCAACTAACTATTACACATTACATCTTAATTTATAGTTGCGTGTATCAATGTGTTGAGGAAGTTGATACAATTGGTCATGCATTGTTTATCTACTTAAGTAAATTTATATAAATGAAATGATAGAGGTCTGCCGTTTTCTCTGCATCACTGAGAAATCTCTATACATTTCATTTAATTCTTCTAAGATTTATTTCTTAGGGACTTGGCCCTATAAGAAAAATATCGTGATCTTCATTTATTGTAAAGCGATTAAAGTTTAAAGAAACAACGATTTTTATAGATGCGCCACGTGTTCAGTGATGTGGGGTTTCTTGCCGTGGAGAAATAGTACAAGCGGCATAGTTAATATAATAAGCAGGGGTGTTGCAAATGTCCACCAGTGGTGGTTAACAATTAACATCAGGTCAACCGCCAGCTCGCTTGTCACTTTCACACTTAAAAAAATATCACTACATAGTGTAAAACAAAGTCGTCCCGCTGTCTGTCTGTCCCTATGTATGCTTAGATCTCACCGCTCGTCTCGCGGCCAAAAAAAAATATCCGCCTAAGGCGTTTCAATATCGAGCATCTAGTCTTTAGCCACCTCTTCTACCTTCACCCGTGATTGGATATCGCCGATTGGCTGGATCGGTGCTAACGGCGTGGTCACGTACCGTCCGCAGACGAACCGGACCGCACGCCGACGGTGGTGTGGTCGTCGGTGGCGCGCCGCCGCACGGACCTCGTGCCGACGCTACCAGCGCCGAGGGCGCCAGGTAGGGCCTACTCGATGACGCGGCTCGACCGGCTGGCGGGCCAGCACCAGCACCAGAGCCACCAGCACCACCTCGCCACGCCGACCTCGTCGCCGTCGATGCACCACCTGAGCCATCGGAGCCGTGAGTTGTTTGCAGGGTGGGCCGTGTGAACGCTTGCCGCTGTGGTGGGCTACGCTGCGGGCTTCTACGCTATCTACGAAGTAACAACCCCCCACCTCTCTAGGTAAAGTTTAATGACCCCCCCCCCCCCTCCCACACCACCAAAGCTACCAGTAGACGGCGCTTACGTAATCGAAGCCGGAAGTAACATGCCTCCCCTCCCCCCTGATAAGATATAACTAGCCACCCCCCAGGCTAAAGCAATCGCTCGTAACGAGTTCTGTTTCTTATCGAAGATTACCAAACCAAAAAAACCTTGTGAAAGAGACATTGGGCGGTTCCAATTAATATTTCGTTCATGGATATCATCTATATAGACTCTTATTACGACTCGATTATTTGAGTTATAGCCTCATTTTTCATTGTTTCTATCAAATTTTGTTGTATTATAACCGGTTTTGCATCCCGGCCTATGATTAAGGTCTATTCGGACACAGAAAAACTACCTCATAATCAAAATCGTTGCTTCGATTTGTGACTAAGACTGCTTCGCTTGGGTTTCATTTCGACTAAACGCTTTGCTTCATATTATATAGTTTATTATATGTTTAAAGTATTTGTCTAAAAATGAGTTTACCTTTTGATGTGAAATATACTTAGTACTATAGTAGTACTTAGTACTATAGTATCATTAGATAATAGACCATGCGTTATCTCTTGCAAGACTTTTGTGTGTTTTAATGTAGCTTCTATTAAAATATATTTGATAGTTCTCATTATTTGTTCCCTTTTTACGATTTCAATTTTTTAATTAAATAATTTCTAATAATATAAAAGCGGAAAGTACCTTCGTCGTTTTTTAGACGAGAATATTGGCTTTAATATATTTTGACTTCTTATGCAAATCATCAATTCCAAATCATTTAGAAAAATTCTTCATCACTTAATCTGCTTTCGATATTATACTGTAAAACAGATTAAAAAATTATGGCATTCGGTACGTAGACTTCTATTTTACTATAATCTCTGACAATAACCTCTGACTGTTGTGACATCGACTTGCTCCATTTTAAAGGTGAGTGGAAATACTAATTTAGTAGTAATAATTATATTCCCAAGGAACACAAAACATCGTTTTTCCTGCATTCTAATCCTCCCATTAAATGCTTTGCTTATAATAATTAATTAATATTATGCTTATAATAATTAATGTAAGATGCTAATTTGAGTAGAAAAATAAGACATTTCTTTTATGTTTTTGTATTACAAACGGTAATTTTTTGTGATTCACGAGAGACATTTCCAGTTCGATTGCTTCTATATAATTTGCACCACGCCATTGTTCCCCTATCTTATTTTCACATCAAATTTCACCAAACTAAATCCTACCTCACATATGTGGACGAGAAATTCTTCTACACCACAATAACATACTAAAATATTTTGAAACTCACATTTTCCCAACACACCCCAGATCCCATAGTATCCTTCGATCGATACACAATCATACACGTTTTTAGGGAGCAACTGGTAAAAAAATCGCTACCGGCCTAAACTCCTGCCCCCCCCCCCCCTCCCTACCCCCTTTCCACTCCCTATCACAAAGACATGACCATTGCCTTGAGTCGCGTCAGAGGTGTGTTATTATGCGCAGAGACACGCTCCAGCGATGACTCTCAATAAATGCCTTAGCCAAGCGTAGGAGAGTTTCTCCCGTACTACCTCCCCTTCTTCCCCTATCCGCACACATATACACGTGTACACACATACAAACATGTACCTGCAGAGACGCGCTCCAGCGATGACTCTCAATAAATGCCTTAGCCAAGCGTAGGAGAGTTTCTCCCGTACTACCTCCCTTTCTTCCCCTATCCGCACTCATATACACGGGTACACACATACAAACATGTACGTGCAGAGACGCGCTCCAGCGACGACTCAATAAATGCCTTAACCAAGCGAGGGGGGGTTTCTTCCGTACTACCTCCCCTTCTTCCCCTATCCGCACACATATACACGTGTACACACATACAAACATGTACGTGCAGAGACGCGCTCCAGCGACGACTCAATAAATGCCTTAACCAAGCGAGGGGGGGTTTCTTCCGTACTACCTCGCCTTCTTCCCCTATCCGCACACATATACACGCGTACACACATACACACACGTCCATTGCCTTAAGCCGCGTCAGACACGTGTGGCGATATGCGCAGAGACGCGCTCCGGCGAGACGACGCCCGGCTCCCGGCCCGGCAGCGCGCTTTCGAACGGCGCCGGCGTGGTGCGGCGCGCCACTTCGGCGCCGCGCAAGCCGCGCCCCGCCTCCATCGCCGGCACCGGGGTCAATACGCCGCGAGGTGAACTGCGCTCTGTTTACACGAACGCTGGGTTTAAATTCCCTTGGCGCCTATACGTTGGCATGTGGATCTTGAGTCGCGAGATGATGCGATTCCGTCTCTCGGCGAGGTGAAGTGCGCTCTATTTGCACGCTCGCTGAGTTTGAATCACCTTGGCGCCTTTGTGTTCGGACGCGGATCTAGAGTCGCGAAACCATATGATGTGTTTCGACCTCGCCCCCTACACCTGACGGAACGAAAATGCACTTTTACGATCATAATTCAAATCACTGTATATTTTTTCACTTTTTATGTTAGATCTGGTGTGCGATCGCCAATCTATTATCCAATCCGAGGGACGGAAATTGAACTTGCTGATCTCTAGATCCGCACCCAAGGTATAGGAAAAAGAGAGAATAGATTGTATTGAGTATCATTAGCTCATTACAAAGATGACCGAGTTTCATTGGGACGCAGTTTTAGCCAATATTCATTGTTTCTATTTTTAATGGCTGTAACATTCCCGCTGAGCGTGCTGCTTCGCTTTTTGTAAATAACATATTTGTATTGGTGTTGTTTTGTTTCCGTGTAATTAGATAATTAAGAAAACAATAGTAGCTGTACAAACATTCAACAACTATAGTCTTGATAGGAATCGGGATGAGAATAAGCTCTATTCACCAGAGAGATAGACACAGCGTATCTTATAGCCATTGAACTTAAGCTGGATACCGACCCTGACAAGGTTAAAATATATACCAATTTACTCACTGACATCGTCTCGTTAGAATTGTGTTGTATGCATTTCGCCGTCACAACGGGTGCTCTTGATGGTCTAAGATGGAACGAATCGAGTGCGTGCGCGTACAGGCGGAGGGGACACGGGGGCGAACAGCGTTGCGACCACGCCGTCCGTTTCGCGCGACGCCACCACAGTCGCCGGCGGGGATGCCCCGAGGAGGCCCGCGACGGCACGCAAGCCGCGCCCCCTCTCGCTCCACGCGTCGCCACGTCCCGGTGAGCGAAACAGAACATTGTAGCTTTTAAGCTAGGCTTGAAATAGACTTGCCGTTTGGTCTCGTTAACGCGCCTGCGACGTTTCATCGCTTTAGCGTGACGTGGTTTGATCCGTGAAAATTGGTGTTTTCTACGGACGCTTGAGTCGCGCCCGTGTTCGGAATTGGTGACGGGTGATTTTCCCATTTGCTACTTGCGTGTTTCGGTTATTGTTTTTTTTTTTTTTAGTTTCATGGACATCGTGAAAACAAAGAAATTTTCGAGTTCAATCTAGACATCGCTTAAAAGCCTTTTATTGTAATTTGTTTGCAACAAATAGACATACACAAATAATGCAGGCAAAATTTGTTTTTTAAAAAATGCCCAATTACTAAATAAAAAGAAAACCTGATTTATCAATAGTTAATAAATCTTAAATACAAAAAAATAATTTAATTTAAAATAAATTTAATTACAAAACCATTTCATTCATAGCAAGTACACACAACAAATTAAAGTGAATCAAAACTACATCAACGATTAGAAATAATTTAAGAAGAAAGATAAAAGAAATAGGGATAAAGTGTTCACTATTTTACTGCTATCGGTGAATTTATACTGTGAATCTCTTCCGCCAACCTGATACACAGCTTACAAGTCAAATAATTCTTTGACACCTTAATATGTATCTCTAGTGTCATTGATAGACCGAACATCGCAGTAGCTTTGATCCATTAGCCGTGTCGTATCAGCGTCAATTGCTAGCTGTACGTGAGGCTTTCAGCTCGGGCTTTTGGACGGGATTCGACAATTTTATTTTTTCACCACTGAACGGGGATTACTGCGATGTTTTTTAGTTTCAGTGCAGTTTAGTTACTGTTATACTTGGTCAACAGTGCCCCCTGCAGCTCCAGGGGAGGGCAAACCGCCACTGCACAGAAAGCCAAAGCCCTCCAAAGATCACGACAAGGTGAGAGTCCCTGAATTAACTACCATTAGACTAATGGGCCAGCCCTATCACTGACCGCATTAGCGGCACATTAGAAAGAAGTTAAATATGATTGTTAGTTATAAACATCCGAGGGTGTGACCGTAAGTTGACTTGACGTTTAAATTTTTGATAATTGATCGTAAAGATGTAGTTGTTACAGTTTTAGCTTGAACTGGAATTATTTTGTGAAAGTCATTAATAACCTACCTGCAAGAGATTTCAAACTGTTTACTGGAATATTTTTCCATGTGTATATCAAAGGTGATGTTGAGTTCGACATTTGAAAAACTACATGAAAAAAGTTTTCACAAATAATTATTTACCCCCATGTCAAAAACTGGGTCTTAGGGATCATCCATTATTCACATTTTTTTTAGCTATTAAAAGCAAGGTTTAAAAGTCTTAGGCCGACAAACTCCCTCGGGTTTGTCGGCCTAAGACTTTTACCACGTGTATTTTTCAATGAAAAATATCATCACAAAATGCTCACTAAATCTCACTACCCTAACACCCCCTCACCCCTTATGATTTTGCGTGTGATTCATGCTGAACCTTCCCCCTCCTCGAGACTGGCGTGATTCATTGACGATCCCTAATTTCATAATAAACCACGCAATCTAAGCACTTGGCAACTGCTAATTGACCGTTTGTTACTAATTCGCAGCGTGGCAAATCGCAGTCGCCTGGACGCGCCCTATCGCCGACGCCTCCGCGACAAACCGCCCACGCAACGGACAAGGTATGTCGATGTAGAAATTTTGCAAAAGTATTTTCTATTTCGATTGGAATTGATGCCGAAATGTGTTTACTGTAAAGTTGAGCTAAAATTTAGTCACTTTCAACGAAAGTATGCTCTGTTTTAACGGGAATTAATGTTTAAATGTATTCAACAATATCCGTAAGGAATTGATTTTTATTAAGGAAATTTATAAAGCAAAAGGAAAAAAATTATAAAGCAAAAGGAAAAAAATCTCTCCGCACATTATCATTTTCTTGATGGTGTAACAAATTTTTATTTTTTGTCGATTTTCTCTGTCTTTCTTCTTTGGATCCGTAGGATTGAAATTCCGATTACGCTCCTCCTCCACTATCACGCTGTCCAGGAACCTATTTGAGTCCGTTCTAATCTCTCATATGACTATCGATAGATGAAATGTAAGTTTCTTATGTCGATGAATAAATGATTTTGAATTTTGACAAGTCTAAACCGCGATCCACAAATACCAGAGCGCGTATCGATACTGTGAAAAGTTTGGGATAGCGCTCGATCGATCTATTCCGCGTGCTGTTTCGGTGAAAGTTGCGCCCTCCCCCCAGGGGGCGTTGGCGGCGCCGGCTGACAAGCGGCAGGTCAGCGCCGTGGAGGTGACGCAGAAGCTGGAGGCTTTGCAGATTGGAGACACGATGCAGCCCCAACTGATCGCTGACGACAAGGTGAGCGCGAGAACTACCACTAGGGCCTGGAGAATAATCGAGCTGTAACAGTAGATTATTCTTTATTTTTACAACCGACTTCAAAAAAGTAGGTGGTTCTCAAATCGACTGTACTTTTTTTAATGTTTGTAACCTCAGAACTTTCGACTGAGTAAACCGATTTCACTGTGTCACTATGACGTGTTAATTAACCCGCTGAGTTACTTTCGTTGGTTCTTCTCTGGTCAGTGGTTTTTCTTTACCGAACCGGTATAGTATTAGTTTCATAATCAATAAGTTAAATGTAATGCTTTTAGATTGAATAGGATATTTGAATTTGTTTTGTACAAAGTCATAATATCCCGAAGATGTACTTTCAACTTACTATTTGCTTATAACAACATTTGATATAATTTTTCAGATAAACGAGAACAAAGAGGTTGTGGAGAATAAACCAAAATCGAACCCCGAACAGTTAGTGGATGTTGAGATGGAAGAGAAGCCCATAGAAGTACAGAAGCCAGTCGAGAAGAAGGAGTCATCGCAAGAGAGGAAAGAGGAAAAACGGGAGGAGAAGAAGGAGCTGCCGCAAGAAAGGAAAGAGGACAAACGGGAAGAGAAGAAGGAGTCCTCGCAGGAGAAAACGGAGGAGAATGAAATGACAGGTGATGCCCTTTTTATTATTCTTTAATATTTTATTACAATTATTAGATTTCATAAATGTTTAGGAGTCGAAAATAAAGTGTAGAAAAAATAATTTTATCAGGATAAAATTTCGTGTCTGAATATAATAGCGGTGATGTAGTTAAGTAAAATTAATCATATTTATATGGGGCTGAACACACTATTTGAATTAACGATATTATGCTAGCTCCATACAGAGATTTATGTATTTATATTGTATCATATATTGAGGAAAGACATGACAGAAACAGACGAAAGAAACTCCATAGGTATCCTCTACCTACAGAGTTTCTTTCGTCTGTTTCTTCTCCGTTAGACGAACTTTATTACGAAACGGTGGTAGATTTAAAAAAATGACTATCGATAGACGAAAGAGAGTAGAAAATGTGAAAAACGAGACGACATGCGATTATCGATTAATACACAATTGCAAATTCAACGTGAAGATAAGGTGCGTCTGACACATGCCGAGGAATGAGGTATGGGAAGTTGTATGTTTCGGCATATATAGATTTATTGAAGCATCTTTATATGAATGTAGGTAACGCAACGTTTCGTACGCCACATACTCCTGGAGATTGGGGTTGGATTGTGAGTGAGAGATGCAGTGGATGAGCCGGTTTGTGTGTGTGGGTTGTATTGAGAGATGGTTTGTGAGTGGGGGTGGGCGTGGGTGAGCGACTGTCCCCGATTAACGTGGTGACGGGGCGTTCCGCAGCGTCGATGATGGCGCGCCGCATCACGACCGAGGAGGAGGCCAAGGCGGCGCTGGCCGAGCGCAGGAGGCGCGCCAGGGAGGAGCTGGAGCGGCAGGCCGAGCTCGAGAGGCAGCGGTGAGTGGCCCACTCCTTTTATTTTGTGTGAGGCCGTGGCAAGTGAGCGTGGTAACCGCCGCCCATCGACATTTGCAACACCCGTGTACGGTGGCAGATGCCGTTGCGTTGCCGTTCAGTTACGTCGCAAGACGAAACGCATAAATATGACCTTTCCACTTTACGGCAGTCTTTTGTGAGGTCGTAGTATTTATCCGGATGGACCTGCCAATTTGTACAACAGCTGAAGCTGTTGCGTGACGCTACCACAGCTAATTATTTTTTTATGCAAAACGTTGGCAAAGAGCGTGCGTGTGCGTAAGTGGTTATCGCCGCCCGCTAAATGTTTACATTGGCCTTGGAGTTGCAGATGCGTTTACAACCTTCAAAGAGTGTATTCTGTGACCTTTCCAAAGCATTTGACTGTGTAGATCATACAATTCTTATCAGGAAATTGGAATGTTATGGTATTTCCAAATCTATCATTGACTTTGTTTCCTCGTATCTTACTGAACATGAAACAAACAAAAATAAAAGTATTAATAAATGGTATTTTGTCATCGAAGTTAATAGTACAAATTAGTGTTCCACAGGGATCGATCCTAGGCTCATTTCAGTTTTTAGTTTATATCAATGATTTACCATATGTGGTAGAAAAATGGTCTCAAACCATTTTGTTCGCGGTTGACACTTAATTACTAATTAAATTTAAAAGGTAAGATGAAACACTCCAATAACCAAATAAAATGCTGGGTGTGGTGTTCGAGGTGGATTGTAACCATTAATTTACTTTTGAACTCCACCATAACAAAATGTAAGATTTAATCAATCTAAGTTGTCTTACCAGCCAGGAATCTATGGTGATGAGAATATCCTACCTTTGAGGATTCAACAGCATTTTTTGGAATATGCATTAATTCCAACACAGCACAATATTTGTATTCAAAACAGACTATACGGGTTGTCTATGGTTTGGGTCTACGTGAATCACTACGGAATACGTTCTATCGAAACGTTTTTGGTAGTTTAATAATCGAGTTAAGGGTGATATTTTGAAGTTGCATTTAATTGTTATTTCAGACTGCAACGGGAGGCGGAGGAAGAAGCAGAGAGACAGAGGCAAGAGGAAGAGAGGCAGAGGAGGGAGGAGGAGGAGGCGCGAGAACTGGCTGCTCTCCAGAGGCGCGTCGAGGAGGAAAAATTGAGGAAGGCTATAGAGGTAATGGCTTTCTCAACCATTATGTCCCATTGGCAGTTTTTAACGTTGACCAATTGATTGTCGCTCAAGGCCCGTTCGGTTGCGCAGGCGCAGCAGGAGCTGGAGCGGCTGGAGGCGGAGCGGCGGTCGCGCAGCTCGGCGGAGCGCGCGGCGCGGCTGCGCGAGGAGGAGGAGAAGCGGCGCGCCGGCGAGGAGGCCGAGCGGCTGCGCAGGGAGGAGGCGGAGCGCGACGAGCGCGAGCGGCTGCAGCGCAAGCAGCGCGTCGAGGCCATCATGGCGCGCACCAGGCTGCGCAAGGTGGGCCGAGGACGTCTCGTGTGTTGCCGTCTTTTAAATATTTAGAGATCGCTATTTTAGGGTTGTACCTGGTATGAAGCATGCCTAATTTTAAACAGATTCAATATACACTTCTCACAGTAGTGTGTATTAACAAAAACTCAAACAATAATTTTAAAAATGTCCATAGTATTTGTAATGCTATCTATTTACGCTTTGATAATGTATACTTTATTCTTGTATATATATATTTCTCAAAATGATTATCTTTTCCATTCATCAGCAAGCTGAAGAAGAGAAGAAACAACAGGGGATCAAAGCACAAGATGGGCCTCAACAGCAGACGGACGATCAAGCGCCAACACAAGCGAACTCGAACACCACACAAGACACCGAGCGACAACAGATGAACAAAGATGAGAACGATTCCGCTCTGACGAGTCAGACCGCACCGGTTCAAGGCAGCACTTTGCCGAAAGAAGTCGAACAATCGACCGCAGAGACTAAAGACTCGAACCCACAAGCAAACGAGCAAGTGACGATAGAAACCGGTGAGCGGACGTCGGTAGAGCAACACACCTCGTCGGTAGAACAGCAGGGGGCTCCGTCGGTAGAGCAGCAGGGGACCTCGTCGGTAGAGCAGCAGGGGGCTCCGTCGGTAGAGCAGCAGGGGACCTCGTCGGTAGAGCAGCAGGGGGCTCCGTCGGCGGAGCAGCAAATGCCGAATCCGGAGCACGGGCTGCTGCTGCCTACGGAGCGGCACGTGCCCGTCACGCAGCACGTGTCCGTTGCGGTGACGTCGCCGGCGGACAATGGGAACGTGTACACGGCGGACCTCCTGCAACTCGCCCCTAGTCAGGTGGGTGCCGCTGGTGACGTTGTTTAGCGGTAGAGTAATATTGTAAATGCGAGAGTAACTTTTCTCAAACAACTATTTGTGTGACCCACAGATAGTTGTTTCGCATCTGGGTGTTTGTCCAAGTGAAATTTATGTTTGTAAAACGTCCTTACAACACAGGATAATGTTATACTAAAGTAAGGGCAATGTTTTTAAAAAAAGCAAAAAAGAATTGAAATTTGATACACAGATAGATAGTCCAGAGCCTGAGAAAGGACATAGGCTTAATGGAAAAAAGTGTTGTTAAAAGCTTCAACGCGAGCGAAGCCGCGGACGAAAAGCTAGTGCATTATAAATATTTCATAGGATAGGGTCGGAGACTAATCAATCCATACTACCTGTGTCACTTGACGACTCGACTGGTGGAGTGGGTGGTGAGCCTGCCTCTTATGCCAAAGGGTGTAGGTTCGATCCCCACCACTGAATTTGTGACCATCCACCTCCCACCCTCCCCACTAAAAATATTGTGTGATATTTATAATGTATATTTATTATGTGTTTTTACAAAAGAAAAGTATATTTGTCAGTTATCTAGTACCCATAGTAGAACCGTTGCTTAGATTGGGAATAGAGAACATGTAACATTTGTGTCCTTATATATTCTTTTAAGCAACCATAACAGTTGGTTGTGTTTGGATATATTTCCTATGTAATAAACTAAAAAAAATAAATTTGCTTTAATTAATTTAAGATTTAAGAAACATCAAGGCCGGTCATTAATTGTAACAATTTCCATTTTATTTGTATATATATTTTTGTCCATTTTAACGTTGTCTGATGATACTTGATTATTTAGATTGAAATTATATTAATTATTTATTATATCAGACTGTTCACCTGATGTTAAGGGCGTGTTTGCGAAATCTCGCGGAATCTGCAAAAATAGGGGGTTTTCAGGTACATTTTGCGGCAAAACGAAACGAATACAATGTAAGTAATAATTATCACATATAGATCCCTCCTTCATCTTCAAATGGTAGATAGTTTTTAATCGAAAATTTTGGTTTATAATATTGTAAATGAGAATTTTCGTGACCACTTCACTCAAAATGGACGATATCCTGTTGGGTTTAGGAACATTTTTCTCTTATTTAATAACATATTTTTTTTTATTTAAAAATATTTTATGTAAGCACACATGTTCAACTCAAAAAGGTAGCTACATTACGTATCAAAATTGTTGAAATTAGTTTCAGAAAAAAATAAAGATTAAAATCTATTTCTTTCACATTTATATCTTACGCGTGAATCTTAAGTGATTGACATAAAGGTTATTTTACTGGTCACTTTTTTGATTTATTCCACAAAAATATTTAAAGAAATATTAGTCGGCGCTCGGCTGCGGTCATGAGTGGTCACTATGTCGCTTATAAACAGTAGCTCGTGAGGAAAAAGATCGCTGTACGAATACAAAATATTTGTCGTAACAAAGTTGATACTTTACACATCATGTTCGGACTTCGGACTACGAACGACAAAAGTAAACTATAATTCACACTTTGTCATATTTTTACTAGAAATTAGTAGGGGTTAAAAATTCATATTTCGTTACGGACTTGATGGAGTGATCTGAAGGTGTACTTCGAGAACTGCTACTGGAACTAACAGACGAGATGAGCTATGTGTGTCGAGTTTGGGCTTGTTTTGTTAGGTATGGTGAGATCTTGCCTTCTGACTTGATGGAGTGACCTGAAGGTGTACTTCGAGAACTGCTACTGGAACTAACAGACGAGATGAGTTATGTGTGTCGAGTTTGGGCTTGTTTTATTAGGTATGGTGAGATCTTGCCTTCTGACTAGATGGAGTGACCTGAAGGTGTACTTTGAGAACTGCTACTGGAACTAACAGACGAGATGAGCTATGTGTGTCGAGTTTGGGCTTGTTTTATTAGGTATGGTGAGATCTTGCCTTCTGACTAGATGGAGTGACCTGAAGGTGTACTTCGAGAACTGCTACTGGAACTAACAGACGAGATGAGTTATGTGTGTCGAGTTTGGGCTTGTTTTGTTAGGTATGGTGAGATCTTGCCTTCTGACTTGATGGAGTGACCTGAAGGTGTACTTTGAGAACTGCTACTGGAACTAACAGACGAGATGAGCTACGTATTTCGAGTTTGGGCTAGTTTTATTAGGTATGGTGAGACCTTGCCTTCTGACTAGATGGAGTGACCTGAAGGTGTACTTTGAGAACTGCTACTGGAACTAACAGACGAGATGAGCTACGTATTTCGAGTTTGGGCTAGCTTTATTAGGTATGGTGAGACCTTGCCTTCTGACTAGATGGAGTGACCTGAAGGTGTACTTTGAGAACTGCTACTGGAACTAACAGACGAGATGAGCTATGTGTGTCGAGTTTGGGCTTGTTTTGTGAGTTTTTTTGAGACCTTACCTTTGAAATTGATGTATTGGCATGAATACAGTAAAAAAGTTATTTAAAATATGGAACTATGTATTCTACATCAATTCTGTGTATAAATATTTGTGAAACATGTTAATATAAAAAAAATTGAAATTTAGATTATAATTATGAGTCAATAGAGTATAAATATAAGTCAGAGTAAATCACAAGTCAAAGTAATGAATTTTTAATATAAACATTCTACATTACTTAGACATGATTAAATATTTTAACTGTCTAATTTGACAGTGTACAGATTTTAGAATTTTCGTTTAAATTTAAATACTCCGGGAGGCCTATGAACCTATCTGGTATTTTATTATAAATTCTTATTTCCATGCAGCCAAATGTTGGCCAAAAGTACACCACATGTAGAAAAATTGTATGGATAATTAAAAATACAAGTAATACAAAACAAATTTGCACACTTGCAAATTGTAAGATTAGGCATGTCTAAAAGGTCATTTTTTTGTATATTCCAATGAATAGGTGTAATAAACATGTACTTCAAAAGTTTCGAACGACAGCTATGTGGCAAACTTTTTGTTTCACGTTTATGACCATTTATCATTTATCGTTTATTGTTTTGTCGTGTTTCGTACTGACCAACTTTTATGATCATGGATTCTGCCTAAAATAATACTTAATTTTTTTAATGACTTGCAATCTTTTGGAACAAATGGTATCTATAGTAAGAACGTCTTTAAAATAGGCAAAACACGAAAAAAAAAAAATAGTTATGTAAAAATGTAGTGGGTCTCAACTTAAATTATCAAAGACTTATTTTTATGGCACAGTTATCACATACAACATTTATACCTCTTATAACTCAATTGTTGTTTCAGATGCCAAAGCCTAAAACGATAAAATTTTAGCAGGCTACTACTTCGATATAGATAACAAAAATAATTAAATGATAGAGAACTATAAAGAAAAATAACAAAGATCCGACACAGAGCACCCCGACTCCGTGTGGTCTTCCCTATCCATAGAGTGAACATTAAAAGGCGGAGCCAGAACCTCGTGTCGGAGGTATAAATTGGCCTCGCGGGCTTGCTCCACCCAGGATCGACATAGCGACAGTTCTGGCGAAGAGCATGGAAGTCAAATTAAAAAATGAAACAATATTTTTTTAAGCTATTGCACAGCTTTTATCGCGGGCTTTGAGCGCGGCGAACGAATCAATAAATTCCGTAACGAAAATAAAACCTAACACCACCCACTCCGCCTACCACGCAAGAGGAAAGATTTGATTGTTTTTATGCATTGAATAGGCTCCTTGTAAGCTACATTATCCCCGGATGACATAGGATATATTAAATTTTCAAAAAACTAGGAATCCTTACCAAAACTTGAATAATGTAACCCAGAGTGTACAAAAATTACCTAAAATATTGTTTGCATCGCGTGCGCTGCTAAAACTATTGATAATTGTATAAAATAATGTACTACGAATTTGCAGAACACATCATTATTTATAAAAAGTGTTTCGACAGTTATGCCACAATAAGTATTCTTTTACTTTAAAATTTTGATTGAAATGCCGCCGCTAGAAAAGGCTCTTTATTTGTATCTTGGTATTAATCCTTATAAAAATAAATTACTTTATATTTAAGACTGTTTCAATATCTTTATATAACTTTTTGAATGATTAAATTCGGACATTCCATTCGAAAGAGATCACAAGTTTAAAAATGTTAGTATATTGTAATTTAACTATCCAGAGCTTAGTGACTGACTTAGTAGTTCTTATCATTTTTGTAAATAATATAAATTAATTATATATTATTAATTATAATATATATTAATTATTATATTATTAAAATATTATTTATTAACATAAATATAAATATCAAAGAAAAAAAATACTGCATAATTAAATAATTATAATCGCATAAGTTGATAAAAGATGCTATGCTATAGCTTTACCCCAGCTGAGCCGAGTGCGACAGGTTTTTTTTTATAAAAATGTTTTTTAATTTTTACTAGTTTGTTTCCTTCGTTTTATTATTTCATTTTTAGTTTCTAGATACTAGCCCAGCTTCGTACGCCATGCTATTTCCAATTCATTTACAGAAAATTATTTTTTTTAACATTTAGCATGAATATTATTGAATCAGCAAAATGCATTCAGAATACGATACAAAGTATTTTACTCAATTCGTTAGCGGGTTTTACCTAATTATCTGCCTACATAGCTACCTTCCTACGTACCCTACCATTACCTACCTATCAAGCTATCTACCTACCGCACGCATAATCAAACATGTAAAAAACAAGCTTCGTTTTCTTCATAAAAATTAATTAAAACATAAAATTTAATTATATACATAATTAATTAAAATGAAAATTATCAACAGCTACGAGCTTTTAAATGAAATTTAATAAATTATACCTAAATAATTATATAAAAAAATATTCAGTTTAAAAACTTGTTGAAAACAAATTTAACGTAAGCTTAAAAAATAAATGACTTCAAATTAAATAAAAGTATCAAGTTGCGTCAGTTACATAAAGTTTCGCTGCTTCGCGCTTGTCGCTGTGTGCGTGAGCCGTGCACGTGTAGTAGTACGACTCTGTACCTAAAATCGAAGCGCGTGAATTCGTAAACGCGTCCTTAAGTGAATATGATGACCTTTAAAAAAGTGGATTACCACACTCACCAGAAGAACTGCGAAAGAATAAATATCGCATCATAATAATTATAGTAACTTATTTAAAAATATTAATTTTTGGAAAGTTTGTGAAAGAAACCGAAGTGTACCTTATGTGGCTTTCTAAACCAAAATTGGCTACGTTTTAAGAAGTTCCTGACATGAAATCAATCGTGATTTTCTTAATTCGTCATCATCATCATCATCATCAGCCGCAAGACGTCCACTGTTGAACATCCTTTAGGCCTCTCAGAACGCCACAACCAACGACACTTCGCAATTTGCATCCGGTTGCCCGCGACTCTTATAATGTCGATTATATATTTCTTAATTAAACGCCGTTAATTCTGAAGGTGCGATGTACTTAATCGGACATTGTACGTTTCAAGGAGTCGGCGCCGACGCAGGGAGGCGCCCGCAACGGCAACGCGGCCGCAGACGCCGCCCACGTGCTCGACACACGCGATGTGAGCGCCCTCTACAAAATATTCTCTCCAAAATGGCAACACTACACGAGAAAACTTGCAGTATTCTTTTTTGGTCGAGCTGTTACGAACTGGTGGTTCACCTGATGTTAAGTGATAACCGCCGTCTTTGCGACACCCGTTGGGTTGCAAATGCTTTGCAACCTTTCAATAAAGTAAGTACCTCGTTAATAATATGGGCCCAGGCCATCTCGCTCACCGGACGAAACGCAGAAGTGTAACACTTCCACTTCACACCCGTCCTCTGTGAGATCGTGGTACTTACCCGGACGGGCCTGCCCACTCGTGCAACCGCCGAAGCTCCTGCTTGGCTGGCCCTACTAAAGTTGAATATTATAAAAGTTTAATAGTTCTTCCGTTCTCTAGTCCCAAACCAAGCAACGCTTGTATTTTGGTTACTAGAAAACTGATACACATACTTAAACATATTTTTCTTTTGCAAATAAATACATATATAAACACCCAGACATTGGAAAAACACTATTTTCGTCACAAGTGAGAATCGAACCCACGCCCTCCCCACTCCAACGGGTCGTCAAATCTATTATAACTGTATTTATATTTCAGAGCGAAGACACGAGCGGCACGCAGCCGAACGACAACGCGCCCACAACGTTGGCCAACAACGGCAACCAGCGCGCCGGCCAACTGTCCAACAGCTTCCTGCAGAACGAGCGCATCTCCGCCGAGAGGCACGGCCAGCTCGGCCAACACGGCCAACACGGCCAACTCGGCCAACTCGGCCAACACGAGCAGAACGGCCAACTCGGGCCGAAGCTGGCCGAGGTGCCGAGGCTGCTGGACGAGGAGTTCGCCACGCACAACGGCCACCCCGCCGCCCACGGCCACCCGCTCACATTGCAAAACGCGATCTAACGCCCCCGACTTAAGGTCGGGAATCGAACTGGCGCTCCCATCGCGCACACGTCGGCTGGACGGCCGACGCTCTAGCGTCGAGGTCGGTCCGCACGGAACGTATACTGACCGCTTGTTGTGGTAGAGCTTTACGATGCGATATCAATTGAAAATTTCGTTTTCGGGGTGATGAGTTTTTGTTTTCACGATTTTGACTGATTCACTTATGGATTCTTGCTGATATCCAGTAAGTTTAATACAGTCTGTTTATTTAAAAGCGGCTATTATTTTGTGAATCGATTTTATTTATGTCGCTTTTGCCCCGACGACGCTATGAATATTTGTTTCCGGGTTATTTATTTTACTATTTTTTTATAACGTATTTCTTCTCGTACTGAAACTTTTTGTATTGGAATCGAAGCTGTACAGCCAATATGTGTGCGTTGGGATCGATACGCCGCCTGCGTGCGTCTATTCGACACTAGCGCCGTCCCTTTCATTCAAAAGCGGACCGCGCGGGTCAGAAGGCGACGGTATATAGGTCTGCCTTTGATTGGAAGTCGAGCATGGTTGAGTGGAAGCGCGGAGCGCGGGCGCGTTATAAAATGAATTGTGTAATTATTAATCAATTAATGCATTTATGTCGCGGTTCTGAATGCGAACTTCGAAGGAGCTTCGTCATATTTAAAATAGGCGCGTCAGTTTGTCTACGATACGAGAGGTGGCAACACTGCATTCATTTACATGGAATCGGGGACTTGTGTTCTATATCTGCCGTAGCTCCGGTCATCGTTTTGTTTGATTCCGTCGGTAATAGGTTGTGTACAGACAGAGACCGCTGCTCTAAATTGTTTAAGTCGTAGGTCTTTTATTTATTGTGATGTGTTGTTTTTTTTTTTCTAATATATTAGAGTGAGATGAAACGATGTCGACGTTGGTGGGGCGAGAAAATCGTTCTCACTTTGTTAAAACCAACTGATGATAAAAGCGATATATGGGGGGCGGTGGGTGCGAGCGAGACGGATATATCCGCTGCGAACTTTGAGTCGCGTCTTTTCCAATGTTTGTTTTAGTTGAACATAATTATCCCTTATGTAATGAAGTGACCGTTTCATAGCGTTGCAATTGTTAAATTTTCAGCCTCCGTAGCGGTAACAATGTAATTAAACTCAATACATACCTATTGTTAAATATCTTGATGGATTCCAATTAAAGTGTAGTGAATATTTACCATAATAATGATAATATTTCATCGATGAATTCTGTACGTGCCGAATTGACATTAAATAATTTATAAAATATATGCATACGGATATACATTGTGACATTACAAAGCATCGTATTATAATTAAATTCATATGAATTGTACTGCGACTCCGCACAGGAGAATTTCGTCTGCATTGTTACCGAAAATTCAAATAATAATATTAATAGATAGAGTTGTATGTGAATATTACAAATTGCATTACTAACTGCTTTTAACTCTACTAAACGATAGTCACGTCCGTAGAGTCCGTGACATGTTAAGTTTTAATTGGACTGGTAATTTCCAATCCAGTCCATACCGTAAGCGATGTGCGATCGATAATTTTCTATTATTGCACAATTTGAGAGAAACTCTTTCGGGTATGTTCGCGCCAAATTTTATCAAAATGGCGGGAATCCTGTTGAATGTCCGGCGGAAATTGCGGATTGTACAACTAATGATGGCGGATCAAAGTTTGCGGAGGCTTTTTCAAGAAGCGCCGGGATATTTGCTACGACTCGACTGGAAATGTTAATCTTTTTGCCTTTTATTCTAATAGCGATGTGAAGATTTTACGGTCCCCAGTTATCAAGAGACCCGGCTATGGCGCTATAATTATTATCGTCGCTTAACAAATACAATAATAATATAATTATTAATAAATAAATAAATAAATAAATAATAATAAGTTATTTAAACAACATGCATGAACGATTTTTGTAATATAAGTAGTTAGCTTTGAAAAAATTTATAATCTATGCCTGTTTCCTTTTTCTTTTATTTCTTTCTTTTAATTAATGTTTGCGGTAAAATGTTGCTCCGTATCTGTCGTAATACGAACATGTGTTTTGTGTTCATCTTTACTATTATATATTTTTTTTTTTCAAATAATCAATTCCATAATGCAATCGTGTTTTGCTCTTCAAACTCTGCGACGAAATCTGTGTTTAATATAAATGTACTACGTACGCTGTATTTTAAAACGACATTGGTAACGTAAACATTTCCGAACGGCCAGTTTGAAAATGGCGCGTAAGTGTAAAAAAAAAACACATTGACAGCTGCAAATGTGCAATCACCGGAACGGCTTACACATTCGAGCGCTTTAATACTTTTTTGTATTTTATTGTTCCATTTACTTTCCATCGTTAACACGTATTCAATTGTAGTGCGTCGCGATAGTTTTTCATTTATTTTGCTAACGACGGAAGCGTCCCTCGTGGTGTATGTACGGACAATACTCTCGTATTCCTAAATTGCTATATAATTAAGCAGACAGTTTGTTTTCATATCTGAGGTTGTCCTTTCCGAGATCGGTAGTTGAACTTGAAACTAGTAGTTTTGTTTTTTTTTTTGTTTTTTTTTTTTTCTTTCAAAGAACTGTCACGGGACGGTACATAGGTTTCGCGGTTAATCGCTTTCTAGTTAAAGTTTTACAATATTCGCTAATCGTCCATTTTTCTAATGTTTTTCGTTCGATTAATCATGTTTACGCATCGACGGCCTTATATAAATAATGCATTATATTTAAAATAGCTATTTTTCTTAATTATTATTTAGTGTTTTTTTTTTTATTTCTTAGTCTGTTGTGAACTTATGGAATGGGTCGTGTTTCTATTTCGACATCGAAATTCAGTATTTTTTAATATATCATGATACGTTTCTGTATCGATTTTGTTTTTGCATAACAATGTTAGTTTATATGATTTGATTTCCTAATGTTATATGTATTATTAACAGTTTGTTAATTTCAATTTTTATGAATTACATCAAGAAGAACGTTGTAAGAAATTCGCGTAAAGATTGCGTCCCATTGCATAAGTAGGAGTTTGCCAAGATGGCATTGTGTAAAGTTGTTTGCTGTCATCCATACGGACTGTATGTATGTATTTATATATATCACACTGAGACATGGCTTCTATGTACGTTTTATTCTATATTATGTTAGCAATCGATGGATTTATAAGGAGAAAGTTTTAATAAAAAATATTATGAAATTTATACTTTTGCTTTTTATTTCACTTACACATGTTATTTAAGACTGGAATAGCAGCAGCAAATTTCAATATTTTCATTGTTTAGTAAAGAGCCTAAAGAGTGCAAATGAAAAGGTTAAATTTAACATGTGAAAAGTAAGGATTTTGAGATTTCCTCAAGCAAAGGAAAGCCTTTAATCATATGTGGATGACATTTTTGTAGTGAAACTGCTTGCATTAGTACAATTTCAAGGTCGTCATTTAAAATTACGGAAAACCGTCATCCATGGCACTTGGACTAAGTAAACATGCTTCACGGGATTGCTTAGAGTATGCGCGCTAGAAGAATCCAGAGTTAGGTAGAAAGAGATAAATTCTATTATGCTCCCTCTATGTGATATTTGTTGTTCAGGGTGCGTGCACATGATATTTTAGATAGTTGGCTACGTGTTATGGCCATCAGTTGTTAATTATACAGGATGGCTTTTCTAAAGGTGCCCAAATTCACACAGAAGGTTCAGACTCGGTAGTCATTCATAAATGCGTCGTAAACTTTTGAAACGAACTTGTGTGCGTGTTAGTTATGAATGATCGCGCGTAAAATAAATGAGTTGCCCATAAATCACGCACTTTTGGAGATAAGTTCATTTTTTTTTTTCATAAGTTCATTGTTGAATGTAATTAATTAATTACGAGTGATTTTAAATATTTATCATTTTTATATAACAGTATTTATGTCTAGAATTTAATAAAAAAAATTGTATATTGTACTTAGAAAAGCCTCCATGTATTATACACGGGAGCTAACTCCACCATAAATCCACACACATGTAGAGCATAACTTTTTAAAATTGTATTAAACATTTACTTTCTTTTATCATAAATATTTACGGTCATTAAATTTTCCAAATAAAAACAATTGAGAACTGAGATAGTATAGGGTAAATTTGAGAACAGCCGTATAAAATTGTAACGTAAAGTTCATCTGAAAGGTCACAAAGCATATGAAATGTTTGAACAAGTTTAAAAAAGATAAAACATAGTGTTAGAAGGAGAGACTTGTAGAGGAATGCGGCGTTGCGGCAACGAATTAAAAAGTCTCTGAATTATGAATCAGTCAGATGTAGTTGTACAGGATGTTACACATTTTGCTTCCTTTTTAATGTTTGAATTTTTTTAATCATGGATATTTTTAACGATTACAGTTTTTTACGATTATTGGCAAGCAGCGTTAGAAGTGTGTTCATTTATTGTCGCGGTTGTAACACCATGCTGTATACAGATTTGTAATATGAATAAACCAACGAAATTTCATCGTAATCTGTACACGCAACAATTTTACATTCCAAGGGTTCCTATAATAAAAATAAAAGATGTTTGAATTGACGGTTGCCTTTATTATATAATTATTATTTTCAATTACAATAGATCATCGACATTTTGCCAGCCTTTGCATAATGTTTAGATTTTTCTACTTATGTAAACAGGAATATGACAAAATTAAAGTAGAAACAAAAACAGCTTTCTTATTTAAATATTTGCTACAAATACGATATATAAATAAAAGGTAATAATTTGTTATTTGATTATAGGGGGGATATTATACCAAGGATTCTGACAAGATATTTAAATTCTGGGAAGGTTAAAAGTCTGACAAACTAAACATTTGTATGATTACCGATTATATTATCATATAATATACAATTGAGTACCTGAACGCACTTTAGTGCTTAAGCACATATACAATTTAAAGGAGTTGAAATGAAACTGAAATATTTGAAAGTACAAGTGCTTGCAACTAAATAATAAAACAAGACTTGTGTCAATGGAGTTGTTAGCGGCTTTATATATTATGTCCTATGAAAGGCCGTCTAACGAAGCGCGCAATGTAGTCTGTATTTCATAATTTCTTTCATGGTTTTTTAACAATTGTGAAATAAATAGCTTTTCGTACAGTTTGTAAATAATTTCGCATAGTCCGAATAAAAAAGTAACCCATTGTACATTTATTTAAACTACTGAACAAATTTAAAGCATTTTTAATGACATGGTCAAATAAATATAATTACACTATAGAATGTTTTCAAAGTACTTCAGTAAACGTTAATTACTAAAGTGGAATTGAAATTTCATAATCGACTATCTACGATTTAACATTCACAAAATATTTAATCACTAACGGGAAGTAATTTACAAACATCTAAATATTTGATCATGACACAGTAGCAAGACTTAAACACTATGATAAATTTTAATTCTACGTTTCAACACTATCAATATAACGACTAGTATGGTTAGAATTCAACGCTAGAATAAGCCTCCCCTTATATTTTAATTGGCAAAACGTTCTTATAATTAGGATATGTCAATGAGTGTTCTCTACGTGGTTTTGACGGCGGAATCGATCGGTTTCCAAATGATTTAGTTGGGTGTCTCCTCGGGGCTGGATTCTGAAAGAGAAAAGGGAGTAACGTGAAGTTGAAATATGATTAATAATATGTAGTAATAGGTGTGGCATGGCCACGCAACAGTCTTCACTGTTGCAGGAATGTGCAGGTCCGTCCGGGGAAGTACCAAGACAGTAAGTATTATACTGCCACTTCACGCCGGTCTTCTGTGAGGTCGTGGTACTCACCCGGACGGACCTGCCCATTCGTGCAACAGCCGAGGCTGCTGCGTGGGCGGCGTAAATAGAAAGTATAATACTTTCGCGTTTTGTCTGATGAGTGAGGTGGCCGGAGCCCAATTTTCAATAGATTGTCAACGCATCTGGAACCCTCGGGTGTAGCAGATGTCTGCTCGCTAGGCAAATTTTCACATAAAAAAAGATGTAACTATTATTATACATACGCGTCGTACAAAACAAACGTATCTGCAACCAGTCACTAACATCAAGTGAGCGACCTGTTCGCTTTCCAACTCTCAACATAATATCTCGAGAGATTTAACGAATTCGTTTTCAGCAAAAAATAAATCCAAACCCACCATCGGTCCACTTCTTGCCTCGCATGCCGACGAAGCCAAGCTGCGCCTTCCGCTTCGGCCACGGGCCGCCCTGGCCCAAGAGGAACTTGATCTCCTGCGCGCCTCCCCTCCCGTCCTTCTTCCCCCGCACGCCGATGAACTTGCCGCGGAAAGATAAGTCATACGGCCGCTTGCTCTGCGCGGACTTCTTGCCGCGCACCCCGTAGAACTGGTGCAAGCCCCTCTTCGCCTCGTTGGTGACGCCGTCGTATTCGTCCGCCGCCTCCGCGTGCTCCGGGCTGAGGTTGGAGCCCTGCAGCCGCTGGATGTAGTCGCTGATGAGCCCCTCCAGGGAAGGCTCGATCGGGCCGAGCTCGTTGGCCGTATAGTCTATCTGGCCGAACAGAGAGCCAGCCCTGTCGGCGGCGTCCGGGTTCGGCAGCAGGATCAGCTCGGGATACTCCTTCTTGCCCCGCATTCCGACGAAGCCGGTGGGCGTGCGTTTGTAGTCGATATACTCCTCGTCGTAACTCTTCTTCCCCTTGACGCCGACGAAGAATTGGGGCTTCCGCTTGTAGAACTGCTCCGGCTCCTCCGAGTCCAGGTACTTCTTGCCGCGCATGCCGAGGAACCCCTGCGGCACGCGCTTGTCCATCTCCTGGGCGGCGATCGCGCATACCAAGTGGACGGCGATGAATAGGAAACAACTTCTGGTCGCCGCCATTTTTGAGTCTGAAACGAGATTAAAACATCTCTGTTTAGAGTTTCATAGAGTGTTGATAGAGAGGAAAAGTTCTAAAGTTTATGTTATGCTTCTTAGTTATAGAATGGATCGTTTTTTTTAATTTTTGTTTAACATTGCCCTTACTGTAGAATAAAATTATTCTGTACTGTAAGTGCGTTTTAGAAACATAAATTTCAAGTGAACACCCGAATCCGAAATAATTATCTGTGGGTCACACACACAAATACTTGTACAGTGTGAGAATCGAACCCACTGCACCACGGAGTCATATCTACCATATATTAGTTTTACATTCTTAGTAATCCTTTTTAATTTTATTTATGGTTGTTGGTCAAATGGACACAAAAAAAAAACTTATTATATTTATGGATGAACTTGAGCGTTACAAACGGTAGAAACGTTTGTTCGGCACATCGTGTTATCTGTAGGAATTTTTCTTCATATCACCCAAGGGAATGAACCTGTATGCACATGCTTTCAGGTCACGCAGGTGCGAGCGAAACCGCCAAGGTTACTTCAAAGAAGCCATAACAAAACGTAGAAGTTGAGCATCGTAATTTCAAAGTTTCGAATTACAGCAATACTTGTCAAGTTGCTAAATACGAAATTGATTGGGTATTAATTTTTAAGCAATCGTCGCTCTTAATGAACTTTCCATAGTTTGTCTAAAAAGTGTTTCGTGAAGCGATTACATAAGAAGTTAAACATTTTCAGGTTGACGAGGAACTTTTTCTACTTATTGCGTATCGTTTAGCTTTTATTATATTCTATATCTAGCTGTGTAAGGTTCAAAGTTGCGTGACCCTATCATATCATCATCATTTCAGCCAATTGATGATGATCAGAAGCTTCTACGTTCGCCCTTGCCCCTTTCATATTACCTTGAAGTGTGTAAATGTCACATTTTACATTTTTACATTTTTACGTATATTTATTTATTTATTTATTTAATCTTTATTGCATTTCCTTTAATACGGAACACGATAGGCAGACTTAATGCCTTTAGGCACTCTCTGCCAGTCACCAATGGTGTAGTGAGATCTTTATGCAGGTGCAATAATAAAACTAACTAAAATTAAATTAGATAATAATCAACCAAAAGAGTAACAAAACTTATATACAAAATTATATAAAATAAACTACTTACAAATGTACATATTATAATATACATATTTCCAAACTAAAATATATAACCATAATAATTTAATTGAAAAATATTCTGGAAACGTTGACGTATCTTTATCTCTTAGGAGCGTTCATGACCTATGGTCATACGGACCGTTATATTATAGTTCTCGACAAATCAGAAGGAAGCGTGTTTAGTATTCCAAACTTTATTTTATGATCTCTTTTCTTTTATCGCTATTCTAATTAGCAATTAATTAATATCAACGTAATGTCATATGTTTTAGTATTATTATATTGTATTTACATAATTATAACTTTAGTTAATCAAATCATCGCGACCGTCGCGTTTCGACGTCTGAGCCACGCAAACGTCACGTACGAGGTCAATTTGTTAATCCACCCTCAAAGGCATACACTTGTGCCGAATGCTGTACGCTTGTAATGCAATAAATAATAAACTACACGGATTACAACTGTAATTAGCTTCATACTGAGAAGCGCGAGATTAATGAGACATATTGTTTCTTATTGACAATGTCTGCCAATTAAGAATAGTGGATGGATTCTAAATCACCATGAGTTGTGTACAACTATGGTTGTAATTATTAGCTTTTATGTACATACATATGCTTACATACTGTATAGTCGTTTATTACGTTTATTGGAAGTCAGTTAACATTTCACTTTTAAATCACTCTTAAATCTAATTTTTTATCATCTTTTAAGAGTCCGTACCCAAAGGGCAAAACGGGAGCCTATTACTAAGACACCGTTGTCTGTCTGTCCGTCTGTCACCAGGCTGTATCTCATGAACCGCGATAGTTAAACAGTTGAAATTTTCACAGATGATGTATTTCTGTTGCCGCTGTAACAACAAAATACTAATACACAGAATAAAAAAATATTTAAGTGTGGCTTCCATACAACAGACGATTATTTTTGCCGTTTTTATAGATAATGGCATGGAACCCTTCGTGTGCGTGTCCAACTCACACTTCGCCGGTTTTTTTTTTCTTATGTATAAAAACAAATCAAATGGTAACTAATAATAATGGACGGCAAAATCGAAAGTAGCCTCCCTTACCAACTTTAAATTATAAGAATTCTAACAAAAATGCGTTTAATTTTTTATTAGGCTCACACCCAGTGCGAATCTTGGAAACATAATGCTGGTATAAGCATGTGTGCTGCAAAATGTGTTTTGCACAACCCAAACCCGTGGGTTCTGGCTAGCCCACCGGTTCTGCGTCAGATGATGCTTTAATAGTCTCGGGACTGAAAGCAAAAACTTCAGTCAATACAAGAGAAGGTTTTGCACAACTTTTCTAGTCCCAAACAAAGTTACTATGAATACTATGCGTACTAGATAACTGATAAACATAATTAAACATACTTTTATTTTATTTATTCATTGTAAGTAGATACATATTATATATATAAATAACATACAAACACCTAGACCCTGGAAAAACACTATATTCGGGGATCGAACCCACACACTCTGGCGTAAGAGGTAGGTACACTACCCACTACACCAATCGGGTCGTCAAATTTATTTTTATTTATGTAAATGTTAATGTACATTATTTAATAATTATTCATTGTACAAGCTGAGACTAGACATGAACAGTTTATTAACGAAAAAAAATTATCCCATTCTTTTATGATTTATTTTATTTTAGTGGTAGTAGTCTCAGCACCCGAGAAACTTTAAAATGTGAATTCATTTCACACAACAATTTCTATTTTTTACACAATTCCCAAAAATAGTGGTACAAAAAATGAAGGACCTAAAAAATGTCGACAGCACTTTCGGGGCACCTGAGTAGCGTGCGAGCGAGACCACCACTTGGCGAGTGATAGAGAAGGACGGCATGAGCCCTAATGAATGTTCCTGTCAGCTTCACTTCAGGATTAAGAGGCGTTTTTGAGTGCGAGGAGCCAAATTAACAAGTTTGTTCACGGGATATTGGCGAATACTTGTTAAAAATAATGAATGAAATTCAATTTATTACATCTACAGGTGTAATATCTACTGTAATTTAATTTAAAAAAAAATACCTGTCATTGCAAGATTAACGAAAAACAAAACCGAATTCAAATATCTCGCTCTGTATTCGTTTTACAATTATCTCCGGAGCCCAAGACCCATTGCCAATGAAATCAATATGGCATAACATGGGAAACACTAGCTTTCAAATAAAGCAATAATTATCAAAATCGATTCACTGAGTCAAAAGTTCAGAGGTAACAAAAAAAACAGTTGAATTGAGAACCTCAACCTTTTTTGAAGACGTGAATTTAAAACCACAAGTAGATTACGTCGGAAGGCTATAAGATTATTAGAACTTTCGTGAGACATTATTATAGGAATAATAAAACGGCCGAACTCACGTCCAAACGGTGTAGGTACAGACTAGTTTCGGACCTACCGGAGGTCTTTTATCAGTGTGAGTGGGATCATCCCATCGATCATTTTTTTTTTTATTAACATGGCCCTTAGTTTAGGATAACATTATCCTGTGTTGTAAGGACGTTTTTACAAACATGAATTTCATGCGGACCAACACCCGGATGCGGAACAACTATCTGTGGGTCGCACAAATAGTTGTCCCGTGCGGGAATCGAACCCACGACCCCCGACGCCGAAGCCGATAGCTTGGCCAATGCGCCACGGAGTCATCATCATCTTTTTCGAGTTTTATTATTTGGTGAATACTGCCTTGTGAAAGTTTTAATAATATTATGGTCACAGATACGGCAAGGTACAGCAAACGGCGTTTGAAACTGTTCGCGGCATCAAGAATAAAACTTAAACTAGAATGTAGTTTACAGTTCGTGATACAGTGTCGTGATAGTGGGACCAGGGTGTACCTGTGCACGCGATTTTGTCTTCGCTACGCTCGCAGAAGGCGTCCAACTTCAGTATGTTATACATTAACGGTACATACGTGGTCCGAAATAATTTCGTCCCCTTCCTCGAACGCGTTGAGGACATTACTCGGGTAAGGTTTGCGAACGGTCTTTTTTTTAATTGGCTTCGTTCAACAAGAGTGGTTTAGGATGATTTTTGGCTCACTCGAAGAACCGATTTGTTATATCTCCAAGTGATGGTATAATTTCTGGGCCTGCAAGATATTGAATGAGCTCAATCGATCGAGTAGTAAATAGCCCAATTCCCAAAAAGGTTATCAACGCATCTGCAAACCCTCGGGTGTGGCAGATGTCCATGGGCGGCGGTATTCACTTAACATCAGGTGAACCGTCTGCTCGTTTGGCATATTTTCACATTAAAACATTAAAAAATAAGTAGTAAATAACAGAATACACTTTTTAGATGTTTTAGGTGTTGAAAGGTACCAGTAATCACTTAAAATTTAAGTTGAACCGCATACTAACTTGCCAAATTTTCACGTAAACAAATCTTCCTCCATTCAGCGCTATCAGTTTATCACAACGTGGATTCCCCTTATCACAGTATCACGGATTGTGCAGCGGTCGCGTAATTCGCCCTCGCCAGTGGTGTTTACGAATATTGAAATAGCAAAGCTGTATTCTTTATTATGAAAATGTGATTTACTTGTAAAGTACTATATAATATACGTATACTGATATACGAGTATGTATATTAAGAAAACTACAACTAGAACTAACAACTCCGCCACGGAGTCATCAAATACGTTTTATTACGAGTATTCTCTTCGCCCTGATTTTTCAAGCTTTAGAAAGCAACGGTATTTCAATATTTTTACTAAGCTTGTATGACAAGTTCTTTTCCTATTCAGAGAGGCTTTCGTTATCTATTTCAGGAATAAAAAACTCGACAGTTTGGGTGGCGCTCGCAAATCGAGTTTACGAG